CATAAGCGGTCCGCTCCGAGTCGATAACAGGGTCGGCCCCTAAGGCAACGAACCCCCGCCTCGGATGCCTCCTAGAGAGAAGAAGCCTAGACCCTAGGTGCAAACGGCCGCTCTATACCTTCCCGGCTAAGGGTCGACTTAGACGACTTGAGAAGAGGAAGAAGTAAGATATTTTGGACGGGCATAGAAGGATAGTGGTCGTTCGGGATAGAATGGGGAAATCCTTGGGAAAATACTAAGGTGTTCCCTTGTCTTCCTTTCTTTTTAATTTTCCCACGACCTTCATTCTTTTGGCACCCGTCTGTTTGCACTTCCGTTATTATTTTTGTTCCTCCTCTTTTCTGTCACATGCATTCAGGTTGAGTGGGAGAGAGGTAAGCATCCCCATTATTATCTTGAGTAAACAATGCTAATTCCTTCTCACACGCATCTCCCATCCCACCTGCACAATCAAGGAAAACAATCCAGAGATTCATCCATCCCCAAATAAGTCATCCCTTTCTTCACACACATGACTTCACACTCTTACTCTACCTCTTCCCCTGAATTCAAAGCAAGGTCATGCAAGGTGTGGGTTCACACGGGTGTGCAAGGAAACTGAGTCGCGCTGACCTTGAGTGAATTTCTTGAAGGCTTACTCAAGAGAGCCAAGTATTTTATGAAAAGTTCGGCCGCAAAACTCTTGTTGTAGCCACTCACAAGGACGAACCACACCCTCCTTCAAATGCCACCACTGACTCAGGCGCCGCTCACGAACACAGAAGCGAGCTCGCCGTCGATGAGAGTACCCCACTCTCAAATCCCACAGCCTCAACGTCACACCTTCCACCACAAACAGCATCACTTCAACCCACCAAATACCAAGTCAGGTCGTCACCTGCCTGCCGCAATACTTGGTGGTCCCGGAACCAATCCTCGCTTACTCGGTATGCCGCAAAAAAATAACAACGGCCTCAACAATTCTTACAAGTGTCGTGTGCCGCAACGTCGTCAACAAGACGATCGTCACACCCTTTCTGTTCCAAGGTGCACTTCCACCTTGGCGGTACCGTCAAGGAACCCGGTGCTGCCGCCGCAAGAATTCGGCAGCGCTTCCGTCGTACCGCCAAGAAACCCGGCGCTGCCGACGCACAATTTCGGCAGTGCTTCCGCTGCACCGCCAAGAAAACAAGTGCTTCCGCCGCAAGAATTCCGCAGCGCTTCCGCCCTAGAAAGCCAGCAGCAACCTCAAGGCTACGGCTTCCCCACAGCCTGCAGCACAGCACAGAAGGTGGGGCAAGAAGCTCCCAGCCTTTGGCTATGGCTGCCTTCTCCTTCCTCCAAGTGCTTCTGCAGACCTCCGGCATGCCTCATCACACCAGCAGTCAGCCAGCCAGCATCTACTCAAGTAGAATGCCCCAGCAGCATTGCCACAAGTGTGAGGCTGCTGGGTGGTAGGCTAGCTTTTATAGCTGGCTGAAGGCTGAGGGCAGCTGCTTTGCCCCCAGCCAAATCCCGGAATAGAGTCTGGCCCTGGATCAAAATCGTGATCAAGGGCCAGGGAACTTGATGTTCCCCTAGGGGAACCAAGTTATGAACCTTGGCAATGCATCTGGCCTTCACCCGCGGCCAGACGCAGCCCAGAAATGGCTGTACTCAGCCATTTTCAAGCAGACTGTTGAAACCAACAGTCTGCTGCCTATCCCTAGTCCAGATGCTTCTAAACTTGCATCTGGACCGAGGCCGCGGCTAGATCCACGGCCGTTTCTTTTTTTTTCCAACGTCCCCCCCTTTTTTTTTTCGGTTTTTTTTTTTTTTTTTTTTCCTCTCAGGCAGGGGCAGCTCGTCATCTGAGGAACGAACGAGCATCCCCCCCCAAGTCATTTCACAGAGTCGAACTAGAGTCAAGCTCAACAGGGTCTTCTTTCTCCCCCTTTGCCTTGCGTCCGTACCCGGACGCTCCCGGCGCCAGGTTCGGGTGCGCAGGCGAACACTGCAGCCCGTTTTTAAAAGCCAACGGGCGCAGTGCTGGTCTCTCCCTCTCTCTCTCTCTTTCTTTGAGGACCCCCCCCACCAAGTCACCTGCATACAGCCGCATTTCTGCGGCTGGTTCATTTGGCTGGCCCACTGTCGAGGCTCAGCCTCCTGATGAGTCGGTGAGAGTCCGACGAAACAGTCGGGCGCAGTCAAGTCGGCCCGTTTGTTTGAAACGAATGGGTACCAAGGAAAAAAAGAAGACATAAAAAAA